TGGATTTCGGCCGCACTGTGCAGCGTGGCGTTTGAAATTTTATTATTGGGCTGAACTGATTCTTGATGATAATTTTAACAAAATTGTCATTTAAACTCGCTATATCTCAGTCGTTTGTGTATCGATCGATTTGAAATTCATACAATAAACTACAAACTATTCCAAAGAATTTTAGTTTAACACCACTTCTTAATACTCAGTACAAATAAAACTACAGGTTTATTACTTTTTTATGAGAATTAAGAGGGTGTTTGTTTTCTAATGCAAAAGTTGTGTTACGTTTGAAATAAATTTTTTGTTTTAAAACAGTGTGGTAGATTACTATCTAGGGAAGTTTTTGCGAAAGTTTCAGAATTAAACATCAAGTAGTTGCAAAGTTATAAGAATATTATTATGACTCGCACGGTTAGCAGATTAGCTCGCTGCGCTCTAAAAGGCTTTATAACTCGGAAAAGTAAAAAAAGTCCCTTTTTTATTAGTGATTTATATGTAAAAAGGCTTGATCTTTCAACTTAGATAACTAGGCACAATTTTAAAAATTACCATAATTCAGAAAAATTACAAATAAAATTTTTAAATAAATAAAATAAATATACATTTTCATCATGCAAATGGGAAAATTTTGGAAAACGCAATAGTACCATCGTATATCCCGTACAAAAATCTATAGAAATCGAATTAGTTTTCCCATTTTCTGTCTGCTTCCCAGCTAGTCGAAAAGTAGCTTGTTTTGCACCGCTCAGGGCGCTGGGATATTTGATGTGAATGTATATAAACATAGAAACCAAAAAAAAAATTTAAAAGTACCGAAAAAATTTAAAAAGTAGTAGTTATGTAAAAAGGGGTATCTACATATGAATTGCTTTATTTTGGTACTTTTCAGTCCGATATTTGCGTGGTGGTCACACGAGGGAAACAGAACATGGATAAATATTCAACATTTATTATTTGTATTTAAATGATAAATATCAAATTCCTTTCTGTAATAATGGAGCACTATTATATTAAAACGACCCAATAACCTTTAGAAGTTGCAATATGTAACCAATAGCCTGATTTATTACTACCTGGTGCATAATATGCTATTGGAACTAGTAATGTAACTAGTACGAAAGCGACAATTGTAACTGACCCCGCTGCGGTGTTTTTTCTTCAGTGCTCTGCTTACAAATACGCGCTGATCAGTTCAGAAATAAAATAGGGGTATTCTCGAAGTCTTGCACGATGCACGGATTGCACGAAATGCAAAAATACTATTCCAAATTCCGAAGAGTACGAGAACACCCCATTGCAAAGTGGTAGCATGCATGGGG